AGTGACACTTAAGAATGTGGTGTCGGGGGGGGGGGGGAGGTGGATAAACTGGAGATATAATCCAAAATTTCTGGCATAAATTCAATATGTTTTTCATCTTTGCTCCTTACCTGACACTAAGAATACAAATTGGATTTGTTATCATTCAAAAATCGCTCTGTAAATATCGCAGCAATGGAGAGAAGTGAAAAAGACCCTAACACTTGGGACACTTACGGTCTTTTTTTCCAAAAAATATATTATTTTCTAAAATCAGGCTATGGAAAAATATGTTACCTTTGCAAAGGCCAACCGTGTTGCTGAACAACAAACAAAGCCTGAATAAGGAAGAAGTTCATGAACTATGTTGTGTCAGTATTATGGGAGGCAGTTTGTCTGTTCCTGACCCAGGGGCTAATCTGTGCAAGCTATGAATCCTCCGTGTCTCAGTTTTCCTGTTTATAAACTGCAAATAATAATGTGCATCTGCCATTGTGTGAGTAGAACTGATCTGAACTTTATTTGTTTCCAATGTCTACATTTGGGATACAGAAAACATCCGTAAAATTGGAGAATTTGGTAAAAACAATTTTGTTTATGTATAAGTTGTTGAATTCTCTTTGTGACCTAACTTGTCTCCCAGAACTAAAACTCCCTGAGTTCACTCATGGCCCTTTGTGCTGACTAAACATCCCACACAGTCACTATTGGGAAATAGCTCTTGCAGCTCTAGGTCCTATAGGGCAGCCCAGGTGGCTACAATAATGGAGTGCCTCCCACCAGTTAAATATAACAAAATAGTTTCTACGAGAGGGGCAGCAGTGTTAGTCAGAACCAGTCCCTGCCACAAATCTTGGTGCCAACTCTGCCCACATATCTACACTAGCGGCTCCATCACAGGACCTAACCAGATCAGCCACGTCATCATGGGTTCATTCACCTGCACATCTACCAATGTAATATACGCTATCATGAGCCAGCAATGCCCCTCTGCTATATACGTCAGCCAAACTGGACAGTGCCTACATAAAAGAATAAACAGACACAAATCAGAGATCAGGAATGGTAATATACAAAAACCTTGTAGGAGAACACTTCAATTTCCCTGGACACTCAGTAGCAGATTTAAAGGTAGTCATCCTGCAACAAAAAAACTCCAAGAACAGACTTCAAAGAGAAACTGCTGAGCTACAGTTCATCAACAAATTTGACACCATCAGTTCAGGATTAAACAAAGACTGTGAATGCCTAGCCAACTACAAAAGCAGTTTCTCGTCTCTTGGGGTGTGTCTAGACTACAGAGTTTTGTCGACAAAAGTGGACTTTTGTCGACAAAACTATACCTGTGTCTACACTACCCCTGAGTTCTGTCAACATAACGTCGACAGAACTCAGCAGTTTTGTCGACACTGGTAAACCTCATTTTACGAGGCATGTCGACAAAGCAGCTTGCTTTGTCGACAGAACTGAATGTAGTGTAGACGCTCTTTGTCAACAGAAGCTTTGTCGACAGTATCTGTCGACAAAACTTCTGTCGACAAAACTCTGTAGTCTAGACATACCCTTGGTGTTCACACCTCCACATCAGCTGCTAGAAGTGGGTCTCATCCTCCCTGACTAAATTGACCTCATTATCTTTAGTCTTACTCTTGATTGTACTCTTTTCTTATGCCTGTGTATTTATATCTGCCTCTGGAATTTCCACTACATGCATCTGACGAAGTGGGTCTTTGCCCACGTAAGCTTATGCTCCAATAAATCTGTTAGTCTATAAGGTGCCACAGGACTCCTCGTCACTTTTGAAAATAGTTTCTGTCTCCTCCTCCTTCCTGGAAGGGAGGAAAAAGCATGAATTTGCCATTGGGCAAACTGCTCTAGAAAATACTGAGCTTTGAGACAAGTCATGTGGAATGTCCCCCCTTAAATAGTAGAGAAAGCCGAAGGCGGGGTGACTCTCTGATGTCTGGAAAATGGAATAATGGGGACAAAATTGGTCTAGATCTTTCCTGGAGGGAACATTGTAGTATGTTCTTCTCTGAGGGTATGTCTACACTAGCCACCCTAGTTTGAACTAGGGTGGCAGTGTAGACATACCCTGAGAGATGGCAGATTTCTTCACTGCAGGACTCAGAAAGCATGTATTTTTTCAGAGCCCCTGCAGATTTCTGAGTGGGCACAGCTACCAGGAAACAAGACTAGACTGGCTGGGCATGGATCTTTCTCTTCCACTTCACTGTCTGCAAAAATATGAGGAGGACTGTGAGCATTTAGATTGAGAAATGTACAAAATCCATACACAAGTGTTGAGTTAAGATTTTTCAGAAATCACTAGGGGCTTTGGGTGTTAGGATTGTTGAGTGACCAGTTAGAGATAGAAGGAGTCTCAAAGTAGCATGTTTTTCGGAATCCAGGTACCCCAAATCTGTAAAACTCAGCCCTCTTTGAGATATCTCAAATTGGGCACTCAGATACAGAGACAAAATAACTAGTCATATTTGAAAACTTGACTCTCTGGATTGAACTTCCAAAGTTCTGACGTGTTAATTAACATTCATAGAGACAATATTATTTTTTGTATCTCTATAGTGAATGAATTGCCATCTGTTTAAATAAATATCATGAAAAAGAAAGAAAGACTGCTAACTATGTATGTATGGTGCCGGCTTGAGAATGGGTACTTCCTTTTTTTCTTGGGAATTAAAGTTATCTAAACTAAAAGAAAAACATACTTTACACCACCTTCTCCTTCCCTTCCCCCTGAATTTCTGGTAAATTGTCAATCATGTCAGCGGTTTTATGACCTTTTATGCTGCTTTACTAGCATTTTCTATACTTAACATCATCACGTACTGTAATTTTACTGCAGCAACATCAATCTAAAATGATCTTATTGCCATAAAGCAAGGAATTGTCATTAAGACATCTTTTCAAATCATAAAATTGTTTAAGTAGGGGAAAAGGGCCAAAAAGATAAGTTCTCTCAACACTGAAAGTCCTTCACAAAGACAGAATAAGAGCTTTGGAAAACTCCAAACTGTTTTCATATGAAAGATAGTTAAAAGGTGAAAAATTGAGAGAAAAATCTATTTCTTCTTTCCTTCTTCCTTTCTTTTTCTTCTTGCTGTTCCAAATACTCAGGGCACAAAGTGAGCATTTCAGAAGGAATGCCTCTTTGACCCATGAAAGGTATTTGCCTTATTCAACATTGTATGCCAAAAACCAAATGGTGGGAAAAGAAGTACAGCCTTTGAAGGAGCTGGAAAACTCCCTTCGGCCTGGATCCCTGAAGGCAAGCATGCACAAGGGTTGCTCTCTCAACAATAATTCACATGATACAACTGAGAAATTTAAGTCTTTTAAGCATATTGGGTCGATCTCTTGGTTGTATGGAGAGAAACTCCTTCCCCTTCTGGGGGAGAAAGAGCAATTCCAGTTACTCCTGCATTACCCAGGAATTGGAAGAAAACAGCAACCTTTTATGAGGTTTCCCACCCACAAGTGGTCATGTTTAATAACAGGATGGTAAATATGATTTTGCAGTCAGCAAAGACAGACACAAGATATGTTCTACTGAATGTTGTACTAGCCGGTTGTTGTTAAACCTATGATTCCAGGAGGATATGTCTGCAATGCAAAAACCTACGCAGCACTGTCTCAGAACCTGGGTCAATAGACATGCCGTTCTGGTTTCTTTTGCATTACCCACAATCAGTTTGTCCCTGTCCCCAATAA